AAAATGGGGAGGACCCGCTTGGAGCTGAGGTAGGGCAGCGAGCGGAGCCAGTCCGTGAGCGCGTCGCAGGTGCGGCGGTAGACCTCCAAGCCGCCCTTGACAGGAGGTGGTGGGTAGTAGGCCGAGCAGACGCCAAGATCGTACGTGGAGCACCGTGCACGAAGCGCTAGTCCGCGTCCCGCCAGCGAAGCTGCGGGCGTCCAGGTGTGCGTCACGGAGGACTTCTTCACTTTGGCCCCGAGGAGAATGCTGCAGCCAGCGCTTTTGTTGGTATACGGACCTCGGGCCCACCCACTTTCGAAACACCAGTTGTGGTCTCCTGCTTTCCGCCAGCGAGCCTCCCAGGGCCTCTCTCGACCGTGGCCCTTGGCCGTCGTGCCATTCAGACACACGAAGTCGTACGCGCGGCAGGCCTGCGCGATCGCGGTGAGCCTCTCTCCGCTGGACGCGTGCAAGGGGTTGTACTGGAGTACGCGAAGGCGGCTGCCGACCATCGCGCGAACGAGCAGGAGCCAGCAGCCCACACTGAGACATCTAGAAGCCATCAACAACGAGGTAAGATGTGAGGGGGATGTCTCGGAAAAGAGGCATGTAGGTGGTGTGGGAGCTGGGCGCCTGTCGCCCTGGGCATCTGTGTGGGCACTCCTGACCCAGATGCCTTGAGGAGGAGGAGGAGGAGGAGGAGGAGAAGAAGAATGAGGAGGAAGAGGAGGAGACAGGAGGAGAAACAGGAAGAGGAGGAGGAGGTTCGGCCTCCCTTCGGAGGAGGAGGAGATGATCGGGTACCCTGCGAAGGAGGGAAGGGAGGAGGAGCAGGAGGAGGAGCAGGAGGAGGAGGAGCAGGAGAAGAAGGAGGAGATATTCGGCTACCCTGAGGAGGAGGAGGAGGAGGAGGAGGAGGAGGAGGGGGAGGAGGAGGAGGAGGAGGAGGAAGAGGAGAACGAGGAAGAGGAGGAGGTGGAGGACGATAAGATGTTCGGCTACCCTGAGGAGGAAGAGGAGGAGGAGGACGAGGAGGAGGAGCACGAGTGTCAACCCAAGAGTCACCACCAACGATGTTGGAATACACCCTCCCCCAAGCTTCCTTTCTGTAAACCCCCACAGCTGTTCATCTCCGCATAGGGACCTGCCTCGTTGGAAGACAACCGTTTGACGACCCTCAAGCATGCAACACCATTATTCTCGGTATTCCAACGCCACGGATAAACGTGACTGTTGCGCCTTGACGATCCAGAATGATACCAGCACGCCCTCCCTGGGACTTTGACGCCGCGGAGTATCATCACTGTTGCGCCCTCATGATCGTGAACCCTTCCAAAACACCATTTCTGGTACTTCTATCAGGGGAATCCGCGAACTGTTTAACAACAATGTGCGCGGCACTAAGGCGAGAACCACATTTTGAAAACGACACCGCCCGCAATCCGTGAAACCCTTGCACATGTGTGAAATGAATGCGCGCGGCACTGAAGCGAGAATCACATTTTGAAAACGACCCGCCCTCAATCCGCGAAACTCTTGCAACGTTTGAAAACGAATGTGCACGGAACAACAACAAGAACCACAAGTTTAACATCACCCGCCTGCAATCCGTGAATAACTTGCAAACATTGAAAACAAATGTGCGCGGCGCTAAGGCGAGAACCAAATTTCGAAAACCACCCGCCCTCAATCCGTGAAACTCTGGCAAACATTGCAAACGAATGTGCAAAACGCAAATGCGAGAACCGCATTTTTGAACACCAACCGCCCTCAATCCGTGAAGCTCTTGCAAATGTTGAGAACAAATGCGCGCGGCGCTAGGGCGAGAACCGCATTTTGAAAACCACCCGCCCTCAATCCGTGAAGCTCTTGCATGTGTTAACGAAAGTGCGCGGCGCTAGGGAGAGGGCCGCATTTCGAAAACCACACGTCCTCCATCTGTGAAGCTGTTACCAGTGTTTCAGTATCAGAAGCATAAATGGTGAGAAAGTCTCAGGCGAAACGCCTGGCCCGCCCAACTAACTGGCCTCGGGGTGCGACAGGAAGGAATCATTAATAAGGAAAAGGAATGAAGGAGGAGTTGGAGTTCGGATACTCTGAAGAGGAGGACGGAGGACGACGGGGATGAGGTGTTCTAGTATCCGGAAGAACCGGAGGAGGAGGAAGAGGAGGGCGAGGAGGAGGAGGAAAAGGAGGATATGTTCGGCTACCCTTAGGAGGAGGAGGAGGAGGAGGAGGAGAAAGAGGAGGGGGAGGAGGAGAATGAGGAGGAGGAGGAGGTGTCCGGCTACCCTGGGGAAGAGGAGGAGGAGGAGGAGGAGGAGGAGGAGAAAGAGGAGGATGAGGAGGGGGAGAAGGAGGCGGAGTTCGGGTACACTGAGGAGGAGGAGGAGGAGGAGGAGGAGGAGGAGGAGGAAGAGGAGGAGGAGGGGCAACATTCGGGGGGGGGAGGGCAACGTTCGGAGGGAGGGGGGGCAGGGCGAACAGCGAGCTTGAAGCGGCGGGCGACACGTCGCCGATAGCTCGGCGATAGGCGACAAGCTCCAAAATGACAAATCGCACCTTCCTGGGCGGGGTGTGCCGCCGGGCATCGACGTCGGCGAGGCACGGGCGATCTGGGGGGCCGATGCCTCGCCCCTCTGAGCCATCCCAGATCTCTCCGCCGATGGGTGCTCGGCTCTGGAAGGTGCTCCGGATGCTTCCTAAAGCCTTCCAAAAGCATTCCCAAAAAACCTTCCAGCCTTCCAGTCTTCGCGTTCGGCCGTGCGGGGCCCTCTCTTCGGGCCCCAGAGCGCCAGAAGCGCGGATCTCGGACGGAACGCTACCCCAGCAGATGTCGACGGGACAGCTGGGGCCGCGGAGAGGTGAAAAGCATCGGATCGGAGAGTGCTGACTGGGCTCGACGTGGGAGGTCGACTACAACTCTGCCGGGGCTGGCCAAGGACGGCCGGGGACGGAAAGGCCCGGACCTCCCGTGGGGTCCGCGGTGTGGAAGAGCAAAGCTCGACGTCAGAGGTCGACCACAGCACGGACCAGGACGGAAAGGCCTGGACCTCTCGTGGGGTCCACGGTGTGGAAGAACAGAGCTCTCGACGTCGGAGGTCGACCACAGCTCTGCAGCGGGCGGCAGCTCACGTGTAGAGCTGCGCAACCAGGACGATCGGTGGGGTGCTCAGCTGACGTCCTACGAAGAGGGGGGGAGCCACGCGGCAGGCGGACCCTGAAGATTCTGACGAGCGGATCCGGCGGGCGGGGTGCGTTCTGACCACGATATCCTGGCGAATCCAGCCGAGTGGACAAGGGGCGCCTAGTGGAGGCTCCCCAGATGGGGTCGGAGCAGATGAATCAGAAGATCGCCCCGCATCGGCGATGCATCGGCGCCATCGGCGTAGAGAAAATCGGGCGTCATGGGGGGAGGGAGGGGGGGCGCCGGGGGGAGAGGGAAGGGGGGCGCCCGGGGTTGGATAACGTGACCCCTGCCCTTCGCCGTGCGGGTCCCGCACCACGATCTATGGGAGGAGGAGGAGGAGGAGGAGGAGGAGGAGGAGGAGGAGGAGGAGGAGGAGGAGGAGGAGAGAAGGAGGAGGGGGGAGGAGGAGGAGGAGGAGGAAGAGGAGGAGGAGCAGGACGAGGAGGAGGAGGACGAGGAGGAGGAGGAGGAGGAGGAGGGGGAGGAGGCGGGCCCCAAGGGTCGCGTCGAGCGGCGCAGGAGGGCGCGGCTCGGCACGCCGGCAGGCGCTACCAGGTCGGGCAGCACCTCCAGGTCCCCGAGCTTCGCGATAGGTCGGGCATGTTCCTCCAGAGGCGGGCATTGGAGGAACAAGTGTTTAAACAGTAATCACGAAGGGAATCAAACAATAATCAAACATGGTCAGAGAATCGTCCCCACCTATTTTTTTGTTATTTTTGAAGGTTCCTTCTGTAGAGGGGTATGCCCGACTTCAGCTCCGCGTCCAGAGCGCGACGAGAACGGCGGCTGTTGGTGCGCCCCTCTGTGGCGGCCTGCGCTCCGCGCGTGCTCCGAGAGAAAACGCATGTCGGGGGCGCGCAAACATGGATTAACGATCCACGTATTTGGCAAGCGGTCGCCAAATCCATGGATTGGGGGAATCGCCCTCCCAAAAATGCGGCCGGTGCCGCCTCGCTGGGCGGCGGCAATCCGCGATTTCCCATGGAAACGGGACCCGTCGCTAATCCACGGCCCCTTGATCCATGTTTGCGATCGCCTGAGCATGGCGCACAGACTGCCCCCAGACCCCCGACGTCGTGAGTTTTTGTTCATAGCGTCGACCCCAAGAGGTCTGGACCCCTTCCTCCCCTGACCTCCCAGGAGGGCTAACAAAAATAACACCAGGCTCTCGACACCTAAATTCCCGTCGGGGCTTGAGGCAATCTAGATAGGTCTATAGGTCTGGAGGGCTATTGTTCTGCACTCTGGAAGGTCAGGGTCAGGACCGGGTCTTCATCCTGAGCCGTTTCTCAACGGCCCCGCGGGCCCGGTTAAGGGCCCCCGGAGGCCGAGAATACGGAGAAGCTTCCCGTCGCGAGTTCTGCCACGACGCGTGGGGGTCTGGGAAGCGCCCGGCGCACACAGTCCGGCCCGAAGACGACCGCCCACCAGAGCACCACGGCGGTGCCCTTCGGCCCTTCCAGGCCCTCGGGGTGGAGCCCCGAGGCCTCTCCCAGCCGAGCAGGAAAGACAACGACGGCGGCGACGAACACCAATAGAGGCCAATACGTCTACACCCTCCGCTTAGGATGACCCTAGGGCTGGCAAGCTGCCAACGAGAGGGAGAGGAGGAGGAGGAGGAGGAGGAGGAGGAGGAGGAGGAGGAGGAGGAGGAGGAGGAGGAGGCGGAGGAGGCGGAGGAGGGAGGAGGAGAGAGCTGGAGGGAGGAGGGGAAGGGAGGAGGACCCAGCCGGCCTCCAGAGGCACGCACCCTCGACTCCCGACCCTCCCCCCTCGACGCGACGGCCCTGCGGCGACTGCGACGACTGCGGCCGCGGGGGGCGGGGGCCTCCCACGGGCCCCTCTGCTCGCAGTTGTGCTCCGCGACGTGCGCGGCCCTGCTAGCGAAGAGCGCCTCGCGCTCGGCGTACTCCTGGCGATCGCCGTCGTCGTCGTCGTCGGCCTCGGCGGCGTCGTTTTCGATGTCGTCGTCGGCGATCGTCGATCGTCGATCGATGGTCGATGCCGTAGTCGGCGTCGTCGTCGTCTGCGATCACCGTCGTCGGCGATCGGCGATCGGCGATCGCCGTCGTCGTGGTCGTCAGCGATCGTCGTAGCAATCGTCGCACGCACGCGCCGTCGTCGGCGATGGTCGGCGCTGTCGTCGCAGGCTGTTCCCGCGCGCGTGCGGAGAGGCGCGCGCGGGGTCGGGCCACCACGGCGCAGGACCGGGTGTCGCTAGTAGAAAGGTGCCCCTGGCCCAAGGGTGCCCCCAGCTCTTCGCTCGACTTCGGAGCCCCGGCAGCCCTCTGGGCCTCGTGAGGGCAGGACAGCCCAGAGAATCATATCGATAAACATCGGATCGGCGATCGAAGCGGATCGGCGGAAATCGGCAGCCGAGTCGGGAATCGTCGAATCGGCAGAAATCGGCAGGCTAGTATGCCTCCCATAAGAAATCGGTCTCCAAATCGGAATCCCCAGTCGACTCGGACCGGAAGCGGAAATAATCGGAATCGAATCGAATCAGAGGAATCGAAACGAGCCCTGTGAGGGATGCTCCGAAAGCCGTGGGGGCCTTGTAGATGCGGGACACCTTGGGCCGGGAGCACTTCTGGCAGCACCAGACACCGCGGGCGGCACACAGAGTGGGCGCACGCGCCCTTCCCCGCCGCCTGCCACATGGACGCCCTCCCTGTCGCCTCTCGCCCCCTCTCGTCCCCCTTGACCTCCTCGTAATTCTCATCCTCCTCCTCTTCCTCCTCCTCCTCCCCTTCCTCCTCCTCCTCCTCCTCCTCCTCCTCCTCCTCCTCTTCCTCCTCCCCTTCCTCCTCCTCCTCCTCCTCCTCCCCTCCTCCTTCTCCTCCTCCTCTCCTCCTCCTCTTGCTGCTTCCTCCTCCTCCTCCTCCTCCTTCCTCCTCCTCCTCCTCCTCCTCCTCCTCCTCCTCCTCCTCCTCCTCCTGGGAACGACTACACGAGGGCCTGAGTCTGGTACCGATGCCAGGGCCCTTAAATGATGAAAAGGAACAGGATAGCTCACTCTGGGCTGAGCCTAGACTCGTTTGGCCAGGCATCCCGATTGGGCGGGAAGAGTCCTCTGGCGAGCTTATCCAATGCTTTCTTGCCAGCTCCAGTCGGGCGCTGGCAGGCCTTCCCCAAAGTGTTGAAGCGTGTGTGCCCCGAACCACCACACACCTCGCACCACCACAGCCCGCGCAGGCACCGAATTCGGTGAGAGCTGTGGATCTGATGGGGAAGGCCTCGACACGGGGCAGCTAGCCACTCGTTGGTGGGAAGCTGGCGGGTTGGTGCCGTCAGGCATACAGTGCAGAAAGAAAAGCCTCGCCTTGGAACCACCTGGTGGGTAGTAGCCTGGCGGGCGTCCATTCGAGCAGCGATTCGTTCATCTCGTCGCGCTCTGCGGGCTGCAACCAGGTCGGCTGGGGTCGGGGCTCCTGGGGCCTTAGCATCAGCATGCCTGGCCAGGACCTCAGCCATACCTACCTCGAGCAGATGTTCCAGGACCTTCTTGGCCAGGGAATCGATTCGAGCGACTTCGGCGGGCGAGGCAGGGGGCAACTGGGCAAGGGCGGCCCCCCTCTTGGCTGCCTCGCCAGCAGCCTCATTACACCTGAATTCGGCTACTGAAACATGCCTGCCTATGTCAGCCTCCGCGAGGTGACTCTTAATTTTCTGAAACTGGGCTTCTCCTGGCCTGGAATTATATTGATGCCAGAAGCGGGCCCAGACAGCCGCATGCAGAGGCTGCACCTGGCTGGGACCCCCGTGGATCGCTTTCAAAATATATGCACAATCTACGACGAAAGTAGATGGGCCAGCGGTGTGTGTTCAGGGCCTGCGTGAGGCCCTCAAGTTCCGCGAGGGGCACCGTCTGGTGCCTTCCCAGGAGCGGGCCCCAGGCTTCCCCTTGGATGGCGCCCTGGGCCCAAACAGCAAAAACCCCAGCCGCACCTACGGAGCCTCGGGTCACTGCTCTAGTCGCCGCCGCTGCCGTCAGTACCCACAAAGGCATCTGGGGGAAGCTCCATACGCTGGTCCTGGGCGATACCTCCTGAACATTCGAATTTCCATTCGGGGGACTTGTCGATGTGGGGGTAAATCCAGAGAGTCGGAACAATTCCACGGTGCCAGAAACAAGCCCACTCCTCATGCTCGCCTTGGACCTGAGGCAGGAGGTCGAAAGCCGTATGCTCTGTGGACGCCAGGCATGGGCACAACCACTGCTGGCGCAGGATATCTTCGACGAGGAGCGGGCAGTGGCGTGCAGCAGCGCACCGAGGGCATTTTTGTCGATCGGGCTCGGCAGGGAAACGACGATCTCCTGGCCACAGCGCGCCTGTAGCGATACGTTCGAGCAGTGCGGCGTGCCCATGACGCTGCGCGCGCCGATGGGCACGGATGAGCTTCACGATAACTGTGAGATCGGCCCCATGTTCGAGACCTTTCCCACAAAAGTGATGGGCTGCAGAGTCCCGCCAAATCTGCTGCTCGAAAGTGCCCTCAACCTCGGCCAGTACACACTGCTGCCATCCTGGTTTAGATCCCGAAGCCGCCACCAAGTAGAACTGGGCTCTCTCAGGTGGGGCCTCGTCGGGGACCAAGTAGCAGGTATCTCCGTAGGGGTCCTGCCACTGCCAGGGGAGCTGGGGATCCCATCCGCTCTGAATCAACGTGGTAACAAGAGCAGCTATGGGGCCTCGGACTTTGCCCCACGGGTGTACTGCAGCCCGCATGGCCTCGACGCACTTAGTCCAGGCAGCTCGGAACGCAACCAGCTCGCGCATGAGAGCCGGGAGAATGTACAGCCATGTCTTGACCATGTCGTGCCGCGCAAAGAACAGAGGGTCGCCTTTCTTTCCAGGGCCAAGTCGGATAGCTACTGGTGCACAGCCACCAGCTCTCTGCTTCCCCGTGAGTGCGGCCATCTTGGACCGAAGCTGCTTCAGCGCAGTAGGCGAGGCCCCTTGGGCCATCATTCCCCAAGAAGCTTGTGGCTTGACCCCCGTGAGGTTGAGCTTGCTGGCTTGGCTGTTGACTTTCAGGAGCTTCTTGACCCGCTCGGCCCTGGCGAAAGCCTTCTTCAATCTACCTTTGGCAACCTTCGTAGATCGCCGTCCTGAAGCAAAGTCAAGTCCGAGGTCTCCCGTCTTGGTGGTCAGCTGGACATGGATATCAGCCTTCTGGAGGGCCTTGTGGACCCCCTGGACCAGGACCTTATTGCTACCGAGGAGCTGGGACTTTCCCGAAAGACGGAGACCTCGGGCTCTCATGTGGTAAACCAAGTCGATGGCGCCCTGGGTGGTGAGCCGATGTACGATGGCCTTAGGACCTCTGGTGGGCAGGGCGATATCGTCGACCCAGGTGCTGATCTCCATGGGCCTGTATCGTGCATGTGCCACATCAAGCATGTCGTGTAGATACGCACGCGTCCAGCTAACACTCTGCATGCACCCCTGGAGGATGGAGCGCTCGACCGAGATAAAGTCTGAAGCCTCGCGCCCTAAGATGAGGACCCTATCTGCGGTGTGCACGCACATGCCCATGTACATGGTGTGTAATGGATAATCAAGTGCTTTGCCTCGGGTATATATCCAAAAAGGGCTGAGCGCGTCGAAAAACTTTTCCGCATCAAGGAGCAGGACGGCCCAGTCGACCGAGATCCAGCTCGCTGCTTCGGCCTTGGCGTGCCTGAGGAGGGCCGCCTTCAAAGGGTCCGAATCTCGTGCGGCTGCATCCCAGAACCCTGCTTTTTGTTTCTCCCAGGTGGCGACAGCTTCTTTCCTGAGTCGGGGCCAGGTGCGGTACAACCCTTGGGTCCGAGTGATGGGTCTGCCCCCTTCCCCTGTGGGTTTGGGATGCAAGCCAACTTCATTCAACAAGATCTGCTCTGGCCACGCGCAGGCGCGCTCGATGTCCTGCAAGAGACCGACTAACTCATCGCGCGCCTCCTCCGGCAAAGCAGCCCAGAGCTTGGGTTTCCACTGGTCGGCCCCCATGCCCATAGAGCCCGGGAAGGCCTGGCACGCTGCCAAGACCTGTGGGACTTGAAGTTCTGACAGTTCAGGCACCTGGGCCGCCACCAGCTCTGCGTAGAGGGATGCCCTTGGCTTCCAGGGTCCTTCCAGAGTGTCTGCCATCGAGTCCGCTTGGTCTCCAGAGCCTCCGAGGGGTCCCAGAGTGGGTCCCCTTCCGTGTCCAGCTCTTGGGCTGGTATGGCCTCTGGGTGGCCCCATGTGGTGGTATGTCGATGAGCCCACTTGGCCCCCCCTCGGAGGCTGTGGGAGAGCCACTCCCGGAACCCAGCTTGTTTATCCCGATAGACTTCATGATCGGCACGGTCTCGGAGAGCCTTACACTTCTTGGCCAGGCCTTTGAGGCCGTCCTGGGATAGTTGGGGCATCTGCTGGGTCTGCATCTGGATGTCCTGGACGTCCGAGGTGATCTGGATGAGGTCGTCCTTAGATCCCTTGGGAACATTATACTCCTGGATGCTTCCGAGTTTGGCCTGGAGGAGCTCTTCAACTTGTTGGCGCTTTGCCGTCTTCCCTGGGCTCTCCTTTCCGATACGGAGTCCAAGAAGGTCCTGAAGTCGCGCAACGATACATTTCCAAAAGGCCAGCTTATGCGTGCCCCCATGTTGTCCGCTTTGTTTGGCTGGTGGCATGGCAGGTCTCACCGTTAGGCCTGGAGAGCATCCGCGGTGGTGCGCGAGGTCGCGCACGCCAACAAGCTTGGACTTGCGCAACTCCTCAGCTGCACCTGAAAAGAGAGCATACCTGTCAGTAAGGGCTGGATCGGTACAGGGTTCGGCAGTGAAATACTTTGTTCGGGGCCGGCTTGGAAGTCGAGCACGAGCTTTCTCCGGGAAGACTTCCCATGCCAGCGTAGGCCCTTGCACGCCCAGGGGAAGCGCTA